GTTGCCAAGTTGGGTCATGAAACATCTGCAAGAAAACCACCAACCTCGGACAGCACCAAGGACCTCACAGCCCTCCTCTTCCTCCTCCCACTCCAGCTCCTCCCTTGGATGCCGCAACGGCCCACCCGTAAGTGTGAAAAAAATGTTCATAAGTCCCTTTTTCTTTTATTGCCGTTGCAACTTTGAATGGTCCCTAAATGTACTATTGTTAGTCGAGGGCTATCCGTGGTCCATGAAAAGTCGGGCCAATCAGCAAAACCTCAGCAGGTTTGGAGGTGGGAGCGGTGAATTTTGGACACGCTGGGGTGGAGTTTGTGGGGAGGGGGCGAGAAGACTCCTTTTGCACCCCCCTCCCCGAAATGAGCAATAATCCGGCCCACGGTTATTGATTTAAATCCCAGAAGGAGAATTTGCCCAGGACAACCATTCAAATTCCTCCCACCTTCTCTCTGGGTTTGCATTCAGCGAGAAAACATTATTAATGGGATTAAATCCTGCCCCCCCCCCGCTGCCCCCAAAGCCCCTTGGCTCAGATCCAGTTCTGGGGGTGGGTGGGGGTGGTTTGGCTGACCTCTCCCGGGGCTCCCACCGAGGGGGTAAACATCAACGATTAACAAAGGGACCACCACCCATGCAACGTGGTCTGCGGAGAAAGAGGACAGGCGGCCAGGAGAATGGCCCCCCCAGCCTCAAACAGGAGGGGTTGCCATGGAGGGAAGGCGTGGGGAGGGGTGAGAAAAAGGGGAGATGGGGAGGGGGTGGGCGTGGGGGGGGGGTTGCTGCCAAGGGTTTTTTTGCCTAAAAAGGGAGCAACTTTGGCGCCCGAGAGAATGTGGAGGCTGACGCAAGCCCAATAAGGCACAGCGAGATCCTATTCTTTTATTTTATTTCGTTTATTTTCTTCTTTGATTTCATTTATTGTATTGTATTGTTTAGACTTGAGTTTGTTCTATCTTGTTTTACTCCATTCCATTCTATTTTTCTTATTTTAATTTTATTAATCTTATTTATTGTTTTATTCTTCTATTCCATTCTTTTATTTTTATTTTATTTTTATTCTATTCTGATTATTTCAGTTTACTTTTTTATAACTTTATTTTATTTCTTTAATTTCTTTTTCTTTTTTTTTCTTTTTCTTTATTATTTGTTGGTTTTATTTTCTTTTTACTTTTTTTTACTTTATTTCTTTTTCTTTTCCTTTACATTTTCTCTTTTATTTACTTTTATTTTTTACTTTCTTTTACTTTTTTTATTTCATTTATTGTATTGTATTGTTTGACTTGAGTTTGTTCTATCTTATTTTACTCCATTCCATTCTATTTTTCTTATTTTAATTTTATTAATCATTTATTGTTTTATTCTTCTATTCCATTCTTTTATTTTTATTTTTATTCTATTCTGATTATTTCAGTTTACTTTTTTATGACTTTATTTCTTTTATTTTATTTCTTTTCCTTTTTTTTCTTTTTCTTTATTATTTTGTTGGTTTTATTTTTTTACTTTTTTTACTTTATTTCTTTTTTTTTTTTTACATTTTCTCTTTTATTTACTTTTATTTTTTACTTTCTTTTACTTTTTTTATTTCATTTATTGTATTGTATTGTTTGACTTGAGTTTGTTCTATCTTATTTTATTCCATTCTATTCTATTTTTCTTATTTTAATTTTATTTATTTTATTTATTATTTTATTATTCTATTCCATTCTTTTATTTTTATTTTATTTTTGTTCTGATTATTTTAGTTTACCTTTTTATTACTTTATTTTATTTCTTTTTCTTTTTTTTTCTTTTTCTTTATTATTTTGTTGGTTTTATTTTCTTTTTACTTTTTTTCTTTTTCTTTTCTTTTACATTTTCTCTTTTATTTACTTTTATTTTTTTACTTTCTTTTACTTTTTTGTTTTCTTTTACGTTCTTTTCTTTTTCTACTTTATCATCTTTATTTTTTCTTCTTTCAATTTTTTCTTTCCTTTTCCTACTTTATTTTACTTTTTATTTTTATTTTATTTTTCTTTACTTTATCCTATTCTATTTTTTTCACTTCTTTTCCTTTTTTCCTTCCTTTTCTATTTTTCTTTTATTTCACCTTATTTCATTTCACTTTATCGTATTTTATTCTATTTTTTTTAAAAAAATGTAATTTAATTATTTTATTTTATTTTGGGTCATCCCAGACTTAGGACCATGGCTGAGCCCACCCGACATTTCCGTTGTTAAGCAAGATGGTCGACAGGTGAGTTTTGTCCCGTTTTACGCCCTTCCTCGCAACCATTGTTAAGTGAATCGCTGATAAGTTAGTAACGTGGCCATTCAGTGAATCTAGCTTCCCCGTTGAGTTTGCTTGTCGGAAGGTCGAAAAAGGGGATCAGAAGGGAGGGATGAAGATTTTCATGACGTGTGGCAAACGGAAAGCACTGCTAAAATTTTCCTCTTGAAAAAGGCTGCTTCGAATTCAGGACCTCACCTTAGCAGAGGTTGGCATCCAAAAGCGGGCTTTTTATTCTATTTTTTTATTTTCTAAATGAAAATCGGTCGGTTTTTATTCTATCCTTTTAAGAATAAAAATACTTATGCCGTTATTCTTTTAATTCTGTTTTTTTCTTCTTCTTCTTTTCTTCCCCCTCCCCCCCCGAAGCGTCTGGGGTGACCCCCCCAAAAAAATGAAATAAAATTAAAATAGAACAGAAGAGCAAAATGAGTAAAACAAAAGAGTAGACACACACACATAATAATAATAATAATAATAATAATAATAATAATAATAATAATAATAATAATAATAATAATAA